GTATACTCTTGGAAGTCAAGCTTCCTCTGTGCAAGGTGCCGTGTGACCCGTCACATTGCAGTTAATAGCATCAGTCAAAACAAATTCTTGAAATCGGGTGATGTCTGAGTAGTAAAGAGATGCTAAAATAGTGGTTTTGCCATACATGATAGCGAATTGGCACATACATGAGCAACACTACAGCATTGCAAATATAATAGAGATATAGAAACCATATCAACATGTGCGTGGCAGGTACGTGGCATCATCGCAAGATGTGTAGGAGAAATTTATAATTCTGTGACCTATATAAGAAGGTTCATTCTAGAAATTAAATGCTAGATCTGCAGCTTGATAAAAGAAACTCATTGAGATGATCGATCTTTTCACCTTGCATTCTAGAAAGAACTAGACATGACGTAACATTTACGACATACGATATAATACGCATTGGATCACTTCACTCAAATTGTGATTTGTATGCAAAATGGGACTATATATAAAATTGGATCTATTGAAAACAAATCTTTAATTCGGGCCAGCTGACGTAGCCATGCATGGTGCAAGGCCGTGCAGTAGCGTTGTCGCTGAAAGATTATATCGAAGCTACTCATGAGCGATATGACGACCAGGATGCTATCGATAGCCAACAGACGAACTGTGATGTAGCATACGTAAACTTTAGACACAAGATCTTTCCAATCAATAGCAACGCGCCATAGAGCCACAGGGGTGCTGTAACGAGAATTGCCCGTCCGTGTACAATTATCCTATGTGAAAGACTTTTATTAATTAACACGCTTCACCGCGTGTTGCTCAGTTCCAGCAAGCCGTTGATTTACTTGCAAGAGGATGAAAATGGCCGATCAACCTTAAACCTCCTTAAATGGATAAGCACATCTATTTTCTAGTATAACAGAATTAAAAGATATACATCAATGCAAGATCAAGATATATAATGTTTACCGCACACGCAAATATGTGGTTCACACAACATGTGTAATTAGACAAGCCCTTTTACACCACCCACTCAAAGGTGGGTATACCCATGTTCTCTTCAAACTTTCTTCGACTCTGAGCATCGGTTATTCGTGATCCCGCACGAAATGAAATGCATCGGAGACGACTTGCGCGACGACGAGAGCAGAGTAAAATCACACCTCAATACGAGGATGCGAAGGTGCCTACGCCACCATCGAACTTGGATAATGCTCCAATTGCACGTCGAATAGCGCTTCCGCACGTTGAGCCAGAACCTGGCATCGAATGACCAGCTTGGGTGGATAACGATTGTTATGAAGAACCCATTGACAAGTGTTAAACTCCAGTGTATTTGTGCTATTGCAAAATAGAAACTTCGTCTCAAATTTTACGATCGACGTGGTGGTGCCACATTAGCGTTTGGCAAACTCTTTAGATCAATGGAAGCTCGAGTGATGACTCGAACCGCTTATTTCCGCGCCATTTAACCGATCACTCGTGCTAGAGGAGAACCACGAAGTCTCACGAACGTACCGTATATCCAGCAATCCCATCTGTATTTCGTCAAAACAAACGACACTCGATACCGGGCATTGTTTCATGCAAACAAATCCGTGGATGCCCACCGTTTGCAAAATGCGAATACCGCTGCAGACTTGTTAAAGATACGCGACATGCGCATTTGGTTTGCTTATTTAGAAGTGCTGGATCAGGTTCGCTCCAATATCGAAGAAGCTCGCGAAGAATGTACGATCATTCGTCGAATCCACGACGAGAGGAAGAGTGCAGCGGAGCTACCGTAGCTCTTTTCGTAGAGGGAGCTAAGCTAAGGTCACCGATCTTACGTTTTTCGAAAAAACAGTACGAGTGTAGCGGATCGCAGTCCGCTACTGTAAGCACTAAGAATCTTTACCCAAGCAGACAAATACTTATGTTCAAAAACGAAACTATTTTTAATTATTTTAGCAATGGAATTTTCTACTTTAACTGGTACATTCATAAGCGTAGTGCTTACAATCATATCTTTTCAGCAGACCGACCTGCGCCTT